GGTTTCGGTATTTCACAAGTAAATATGGTATTGCGTAAGATTTCCAGTATAATAATTCTATAAAATTATAGTTTTATATCAACTATCTGATATGAAATCAGTTTTTTTCTTCAAAATCAGGGCAATTATTTCAAGTCTATATACTTCCTGAGAACAAACATATTGTAAGTCAAGATTAACTTGACCTGAAGACAAGGAGTTGCATCTAAAACACAAGATTTGAAGATTATGTCCCAAAAACCATAGAGATTAATTGTTTTTGGTCCATCCTGAATAACTACCTTCTCGAGTTTGTATGGATTCACATGTCAGCCAGTCAGTCAGTCAGCTATAAAGCAGGACAAGGCACGTATGTGCATCGGTCCAAGTTGTCATACCCCATTAGCACAACAAGAAGTAGTTAATTCAGTGGTGGTGATATATAAAAGAAAGATTGCATATAAGAACATAGTACAGGAAGAAAGAATTAGTTCGTAGAAAGAAAGATATGAAGCGATTTTAATCTCATAGTTTAAAGGAAGACAGCCATTAAGACCACAAATTCACTAGTAAATTTGCTTTGATGAATATATACGTCAATGTATAATCTATTAAACATAATGATTATTCAGGACTACAGGAGACAAAATGATGGTTACTAAACAGGAATCAAATAATGTTAACAATAACATAATACCAACCTATCATATTTCGAATATAATCTACAACTTACTTCATCAGATTGATTTGCATTTATTATTTGATTTTGTCTTTCCCAGCTAGTATTTAATAAGTCAGCAGTAGTTTCACAACATTCTTTTACTTGGTTTTCAATATCCTAAAATAAAACAAAAGAAATTTTGTGGTTCTCAACCGTGATCTCTTTGTTGATGAATGTTAATGTAAACTTTTAGTGTTCATGTGAAGCAATAAAAGGTTTGCAAACAATCGCACACCTTGTTTATAATTTTCATGCAGTACATTCACATATGCCCACGATGTTTTTCTACATACAAACGCCGGTTTAATCGCTACTATCAGAGCACGTTAAAAACATATCTGGAAATCTTCGCATAATTGAATAAATACATACATTTGTAGTGATCTACTTTTATGGCGAGAATGCGATTGGTGTAATGGAAACATTTATTATTATGGCCAGCTGCACCAATGATTGTTTTACTGTACCTTTTTATTTAATTGCATCAAAACACATACTTTTCCGTTGTGCATGACCTTGAACTTACCCATGTACGCATGGTAGTCTCGCTTGTAAACTTTGGCACGATCCCGGTATTAGTTCGGAACCACAAGATCAACAAATACATCCTAACTACAATCTACAACTGTCCTACTAATATTTATCCTACGGAGGGATTTAATCTAGTAATTGGCACGTAATCAATCTGTAGTTGTGACCATAGTCAACTGAGAGCCGACATTATCACATATTATCATTGCTTATTCTAAAATATTGAACTAAATTTAGAGAAACCAAATGATTCACAAACGTTTTATGGGTATCGTTTAACGACATTTTTAACTGTTTTAAAAGACAGAAAAAATTACCAAAGATAAAGATTGGATTGGTAACGAAAGTTAATTGCTTTTTAAATAAAAAACGTTGGCGCAGGCAAAGTGAAGGTCTATGTTGAAAAGTAATGGAAAAAGTGAGGATGATCAGAAATTCATGGTGTTTTACACTTTCTGTTAGTATCCGCATAAAACTACACAAGGACTAGTATAGTTTGAAAAAAATAAATATAAAGAAATAGAATGGAACTGATTGGCTGATAGAAACAATATCTTACTTGGCTAATTTCCGAAAGCTTTTCATGCCATTGTCTCAACCGGTCCTTATGTTTTTCTTTTCGACGAGAGGTTAAACGTTGTAGTATGTTAGTGGAATCACACTTTTGCTGTAATAGCGCGCATTTATCAGCAACTAATGGTGGTAAAACAAGCTGATAATCTGATTCCAATAAAATAGGATCAACTGAAAAAGGCAGATTTTGAACAACGATATGTTCTTCATAATGGGGAATCTTAGTGAACGCCTGAGAAATTAGTGACAAAAGAAAAAGTAGTGGTTTATGTGAGTACATTAATTAGGTATATCCTTTATGTTTCTGGCTAAAGTTACCGATAACAAGCTTTTACATTGACTATGGTAAAAAGGCAAATATTGATAAGACTCAATTTCATGGGGACCGGAACATTTAGTCCATATATTCATCCAAGAAGTGGGTAAATAAGCAATAAATAGAACTGCGACCAAAAACCTTTTCATGATCCTAAATGCTGCCTTGTCGTGACATGAAAGCTCAAATAGTGTCATTGTAAGCACTAGTATGTAAATCTATGTAATTCGTTGGGAAAATATTTATGTTTTCCTCCTAGCGTTTAAAAATGTGACTCGTCTTCAGTACATAAATTTTATCTTTGTCGTTTTTTATCGATTTTTCGAAACTGTATTTACTTTAGTATTAATAACCGTGATTATTGCAAATAACACACACCGAATATTTCAATTTGCAGCTTACTGAAGCTTTATAATCAAACCGAGCATAAAGTATGTCTAAGTTGACACTTATGGTAGATAGTGTCTAAAAATATCCAGGTCAAAACCGTTTATAAACATGTATTCCCAACGAACTGATTAAGGTTGACTTATTCCATACAAATCTGACTGGTGCCAAATTATAAAAGAAGGATTATCCCATATATTTAAGTGCGTTCTCACTAGTCTTACAAAATAAAAATGGCTTCACAAAGTTACATAACGTTGAAATAAACCTTGATGAAAAGTAAGCAGTGTCATTAGATTCATGTGAAAGAACTTCATTCCCCACCTTACTATATTTTGTATCACAAATTGTGTTTTACTGATGCCTAAATTATATGAACAATAACGTTATCTCCACCCGATCTGCGACTGTGAATGCCGACATCAAAATAGATTATAACACCTCACTTGAATGGTACTAAAGAGGTAACCATAGGCTGAGAGTTCTTTTTCGATTTAGGAACAAAGCCTTTTTTGTTAGTTAATAAATCATGTATAATTCACTGTGTGACGACAGTCACATTAATAAATAGCTTTGAATATCGAATGCCGTAACAGTTTATTTGCTAATGATACAAGGAATGAATTACGAAAAACACCTTAAAACCACCTATTTAACTTCTATTCTAGCAAAAAAACTTTAGGGCTTTTAAAAACTTATCTAAAATATACTCTAGTCCACTATTTCTTGAAGACCTACTGATTAAATGATCACTGACACATTATTTGTTTATCAACTAACCGTAGTCAACAACTTCACTTGGCTCATTCTGCACGCTTGTAAGCTTCTGTAATGGAAATAATCACTAGTTATTAAAAGCCGGAATTTCGATAACCCGCTGCAGAAAGTACTATGACAACGATGAGTGTTCAGCAGATCATGGATGTTGTAAGCAAATCTGCTGGGTCGAGTAGCCTACACCTTAGTAAGTACAGAAAAAAAGGGACTTTCAATTCATTTAATTGTTTTAATATCTGATGTCATTGCCAATTCAATGCTCTCGTGTTAATCTCTACTATGGCAGGAATTCATTATATTACTGTCCGATGATACTCTTGTCAATATGTTTTTGTTTTGTTGAGAACTGTTAAGTGTTTTGCTAGCCATTTATCTGCTTGAGAACTAAATGTGCCTTCAGATACATTGTACTGTCATATCTTAATCAGGAATATCTCGAATTTCGTGAATAATACTTCCTAGGCAACAGTGTAGCAATTCAGAAAACTCGAGTAGGAGAATATTAACTTACGGCAACTCAAAGTTCAAGACTACAAACTGATCCCTTATTCTGATTAAAATGATATATATTAAGGAACAATCCCCTATAAATTGGCTTTGTTTATGTGCTCACCTTGCTAGCTTTATTAGGCACTTCTTGCAGAAGGGATTCATTCATGCATCACTATCAGGTTTTGGCCTAATTTAATGTGAAGCCACTATCATCTTCAGGATAGTGAGTCTAAATTTCTTGCACTTATCTGTCAAGGATATTCTTCCTCGCGACAATCGTCGCCTTGTGAGTTGTTTGTCTCCAAGTTAATCGTCGTGAGGTAGTTTATAACTAATATTTACTAAACCTTCTATGGCTGATTTACTCAACAAAGAGCAGTAGAGTAAAAAAGTTAGCAGGCATCACACTCGTAATTAAAGTGACTCAGAAGTTTGAGATAGTGTATAAGGTGGCTACTCGTGAATACCACCCCATGAAAAGTATTCACATCTTGAAGTTTTATTCTCTATTAAGAAACTGACTGACTTCCGTACGACATGGAACCTGGTACGTATGTACGTCAGTTCTAGTTGTTATACCCTATCAGCAAAGGTAGATGAAATTGTCAGATCGATCCCGAGAATAATAGGTGCTGTGACAGTGTCAGTGGTCAAAGGAAATATTAGACACAGAAGATCCTATTCGACAAAAAAATATAAGTAAAAGGAAATGTAATAAAAGGAAAAAGAGTTGTGAGTATTTCAGAGTCTTAAGGTTTGGGGAAAGACATAAAACCGATGCACCTGTGCCACTGAAAATAATTCTGAACTCAATCATTTAAAACCCCTAACCATTAGTCATGATGTCACACGGATCTAAACCTACACCTGTTAACATGGTTCAACTCTGTCTACCACGTTTTGTTTTGCCGCCCCCCCCCATCTTCCGATCCACTCCTACATCAAAAAATATCGACCGCCGAGACACGGTAATTCGGTATACTTAACGCGTGTCTCAACCGCTCCACTTTATAAATATTAACTACCTCATCAGTCGATATACCATCCTTACCGAGTACCCTATTCCTAACCCAGGCAGTCCTTATTACGAGGTCCTAAAACAGACGAGCGATGTTTTGAAAACTGTTATATCTCAAAGGGCCGCCAATCAGAGGGCAGAAACTCATCGATCGGATGAACGGATTCAAAATAATAATAATTTTATTCTCAAATAACATTTTGTTACGTGAGGCATGCCAGTTTACAGGCAAGATCAAATTGATACAAATGATACAATATCCACTGTAGTAAATTACATAGCTGGGTTGATAATTTATAAGATATGAATGTAGATGGTTTTAATCAGTACTACAATTGGCGCGCTTCACGAAAGTTGCGTTGCGAATGTGCAACTGATGGTCAAGGGTAGGTCCATGAAGGTGTGAGCTTCTAAATATCGCAACCTTATGTCCCTTTGGAATGTCTAAGGCTTTGAGGATGGTGCAGGATGAAATCTTTCGTTCCATATCACAAGGGGGCTGAAAGAGGGAGCAAGTAAAAGAAAGGACGAGAGTCAGAGTAGCCAATATTCATGAAGGAATGTTTAAGGTATGATTACTCAGTCTAATTTTCTTTTGTTAAGGTATTTGTTAAGAAATGTCATTTCAATAGGTTAAATAAAATAAGTGTTAACAAGGTGTGAGTGGACATACAACTGACAAATGGAGGCGATTCGGAAAGGAGCTGAGAGTTTGGAATTATATGTGATTATAAAATAAAATATAGTGCTAGAAACAGTATTGTGAGATGCAATTGGCTGTCTTTCTTTTTTTATCGAAGCTATTAGAGCCCCTTTATTTTTTTATTTTTTTCCAGGTATTATAGGGTCTTGAGTAGGCTTCGTATATTCGCGAATTGTCTAGTTTGCTTGTAATAGGATTACTGGGTAGGAAATGAAACCAATTCAACGTTCGTAACACGATTTAATGAGGTATTTTACGTGATAAATCAGCATCAATACCATAAGTTCGTGACATCCCACTAAACCATAAGGAGCCGTAATTAAACAAAATGTTCTGCCCTACAGACATGGGTGGATTGAATTTATCTCCCCACCATCATGTTTGGTGGTCAGTAACGCCACCCTCCCTCCTTTTTTGATGTTAGGCTCTCTTACGTTTGTGGTAAGTATGAATACTGCTTTAATCAAAACCCATAGTTGGAATACACTGTCTCTACTAGGTCCATGTTACAAGCAAATCAGATAGTTGAAAAGCCTGCTTTATGGGTTAGATGTCCATATAGTATATCACACTGCTATGAAAATAACTAATGGTTTAAGGAAGTAAGGGCTAATAGCAAATCAAAAGACATGAGAGGGTATAAAATTGTAGAAAAAAAAATTCAGGGTAAGACAAATAAAGCATTGAGAAACTCACAAGACTTTGTGGCTAAATTTTGAGCTTTGTATGATCGGCCTCATCGGTGGGCGGGAGTTCAAGGTAATGTTGAAGCTCTTTGGAGTCTAGAAATAGGGTTATTAGCTTTTTGAATCTGGTAAACGTATCACAGTTACGGATAGGCATTGGCAGCCTGTTCCACAATACACTATACCGTACTGTAAAAAACTTACAACGCATTTGTTTTTGGTGTTTTACGGTAAGTAGTGTATATGCGTTGTTTCTAAGTCTATAGGCTGGGTCGTGGGTGATAGTCGGGCAGGAGGTTAGAAAGGAGAGCCCATATATCGCTTTGTAGAGAAATATTAAATTGTTTTTTAGCCTACGGTGCCATAAAGGTTCTAAGGATAGATGCTTACATCTGTCTGTGTAATCGATATTCGAGTTACATCCTAGTAGTTGACGTGTGAAACGTCTTTGAACATCTTCTACTCTTATCTTGTCTGCGATATTCATATTAGAGAAGACAAAAGAGCAGTATTCAAATGGTTCAAATGGTTGTGGACGGAATAGAAGAAGCTTTCGCTTAACAGGCTTCCGTGTCTAGTAGCAGGGGATCACGAAATCCTCCAGGCAGGAACCTAGGTATGTTAACAATAAAAGAGGAAAAGAAATTGGTAAATCATAGTGCGATGCTGTCCTTGGTCCTTAAGAATAGGTCAAGTTGCCTCTTGAAGGACTCCTGAGAAGTCGCTTGGACTAGCTCGGCCGGCAGCGAGTTCCAGCTTTTGACAACTCTTAAGGAGTAGAAGTTGTGTCTACATTCCGTCTTGCTATGTTGTGTTTCCAGTTTCTGGGTGTTACCCCTTAGGTTATTGTTCGAACTAAGCTTAAGTAGGTGTTTAAGAGGATGTCCAGAAGTGTTAAGAATACTATAAGCCATTAATAAATCACCTCTAAGACGCCTATATTCTAGTGGGTAAAGGTCTAGTGAACGGAGGCGTTCTTCGTAAGGCTTAGATTTGAGTCCTCGAACTGATTTCGTGGCTCGCCGTTGGATACGCTCCAAAGTGACCCTATCCTTTTGGAGTGAGGGGGGAGTACTATGTTTCCGTACTCTAAATGGGGACGGATGAAACTATTGAAGATTGTGTGGAAAGTTCTTCCGTCAAACTGGCCAAAAATGCGCCTCAACGTTACCAGTGCAAGGTTTGCTCGGAAGGCATTTTTGTCACAGTTAGCGTAAGACTTTAAGTCATGGGGCACCAGGACTCCTAAATCTTTTTCGACTTGGGATACTACTAGAGAGGAGTTTCCTAAGTTGTAACTGTAGTTTGCGACATGTCGCAGATGGACTACTTTACACTTTGAAGTGTTAAAGGTAAGTCCGTTATCGTCTGCCCAACTTTGAAGTCGAGTCAGATCCTCTTGAAGTGCCTGTATATCGTCTTGGTTGCGTATCTCTCTCCAAAGTTTCACGTCGTCGGCAAAAAGTAATAAGTCTGACGTTACCTGTTGAGGAAGATCATTTATGTAGATCAAGAAGAGAAGAGGCCCTAGTACTGAGCCCTGGGGGACCCCACTAGGACATTCCATAGCTTGAGATAAAGTGAAATTAACCCTAACCTTAAAGTGTCGATTTTTTAGGTATGAAGTAAGCCAGTCGATTAGAGGTGGTTTGATACCTAGTCGTTTGAGCTTGTTGATAAGACACAAGTGGTTAACCTTATCAAAAGCTTTTGAGAAATCAAGGTAAATGACATCAACCTTTCCCTTGCGATCGAGGATGCTTGTCCATCTGTCCACCGCAGTCAGCAGGTTGGTTATACAAGAGTAACCCTTCCTGAAACCATGCTGTTGGGGTGAGAAGAAATTTAAGGACAGTAGGTAGTCATTTAAACCGTCGCATATCAGGGACTCCATGAGTTTTGAAGGTAACGACAGAAGAGCTACCGGCCGGTAACTTGAAGGTTCATTGCGTCGACCACCTTTGAAAATTGGTATGATGTGAGCCAACTTCCAATTTTCCGGTAGTTTGCCTCGGCTAAGCGAGTGTGAAAACATCACGCTAAGCGGCGTTGCCAGGATTGAGGCTGCCTCCCTCAGTATGGCAGGATGAACCATATCCGGGCCAGGAGAAGTGTCAAGTCTTAAGTGCTGCAGTTTCCGGAACACCAAGTCAGCGCTTAGGTCCACTTCAGAAAGTCCTGTGGAATTGCAGATGAAACTGTCGTCAATAAAGTTGATATCAGCCGGTTGAAATGTTTGAGAGTAATGGGCCGCCAGAAGGTTAGCGGCGTCGCCATCGTTGTTGGTCGGCCCGTTAGGACCTAGCAGTTGAGAAACTCCTGTTTTGGCTTGACGAAGAGAGGCTGCATAACGGAATAGGCTTCTAGGGTTAGAGGCGAATTTGTCCATAAGCTTTGTTTGGTACTGAAGCCTGTCTTCTCTTATAGCCTTCGTGCATGTGTTCCTGATATGTTTGTATTGCCTGTACGCTCCATCGTTATTAGTTCGTTTGTAATCCGCCCAACAGTGCCGTTTGCGGCTTAGGAGGCGAAGGGTACGGTTCTTGATTACTGTAGGTGGCTTGAAGCTTTTGGGAACCGTTTGAGGAACTGAATGGTCTGTAGCACATAAGAGCGTGTGCAGTAAGAAGTCCCAATGACCATCCACATCGATTTGAGGGTGAACATCCCAAACCACCTGTTGTAGATGGTCATGTAGAGCTGGCACATTCATCCGTTTAAAATTCCAACGCAAATTATTGTTGGGATACCTTAGCTTAGTTTTGATGACAAAACTGAAGGCTATGACGGCATGATCGCTTTTTCCCAGAGGAGCCAGGATTGAGAGGTTGTCGACTAGGAATTCTTCGTTAGTGAATACACAGTCTAAGCGCGATGGTGTCTGACTGTTTCTCCAACGAGTTGCCGACCTCACATTTTCATATAAGCCCAAGTTATCGATGAGGTTGAAGAACCGAGCTTCAGTTGAGTTGTCGCCTCCAGTGTACGTGTGTTCCGCGAAGTTGACTCTAGGGAGATTAAAGTCCCCTAGAATCAGTATGTGTGTGAAACCGAGACGGATAGAGCGGGATAGTCCTTCCAGCATACGACTATCGTACTCGGTGTCGGCAGTTGGCTTCCTGTAAATGACTCCGACTAGACACCTGGAAGTACTAGACAACCTTACAGAGCACCATATGGATTCCTCAAGATTGTTAAACTCGAGGTTGTGAACCTGGTGCACCTCCAAGCAAGAGCTTATGTATATGGCTACTCCGCCCCCAATTCCTATTTTTCTGTCGTTGCGGAACAAAGTCATCCCAGGTAATGCTAACTCTTGATCCGAGAACTGAGAAGATATCCAGGTTTCAGATATTCCTATCAGATGGGCCTTGTTAGCGTTGCTAAGTTCACGTAGTTCATCCAGTTTGTTTGGTAAACTCGCGGCGTTCGTATATAAGCAGTTTATGCTTTCAATTTGGAACGCATGAGCTTCGTCCTGTTTTTCTGTATGAACCTTATGTGAATGGACAGGTAGCCCACCTATATGAGGTTTGCCGAGGTGGTAGGCCCTGTCCTTTACACGTTTTTTTTATCGTTTAGACAGTCCACAAGTGGAATGGTCAGCTCCAACTTGCCTTTGTTCTTGATCCTGACTTCGTATGGCCTATCCGGGTGCATGTGGATTCCAGGTGGCAATCGACGTCTATTAGCACGAAATGCTTCCAGAACTGCAGCCGCCATGTGGGAAGATGGGAAGGTTATCTTTATTAGACGGGGTCTAAGATCACCGTCCTTCTTGGCTAGTCTCGTCACATGCTGAGTCAGTATGTGTTTGAGCCTTAAGGACTGTTTGATGAATTTCCATTCCCTGATGTCAGAATTTGATTGAGTAGGGTCTGCATTTTCCGGTATACCTTGGACAATTATGTTTCTTCCGCGGAAGAACTTCTCGCGAGATTCTTTAGGGATGTTTCGTATGATATTGCGCTCAGAGTACGGTATGTCGGGCAATATTCTTACGTTACCATCTGATTTCAGTAAGTGACTTGCTAGCAAGGGAGGGTCGTACACATATTTTGTAGAGAGTAAGTTTACCCTCTGTTATGAAAAAGTTTTTCATTATAAAACCAATTAGCCGTCTAGATTTAGAAATAATAGAAGAGGCATGTTCTTCAAAGTTCAGGCTTCCTGCGTAGTTAATTCCTAAATCGTGTACTGATTCGAGTGTTTGGACTCTACATTCATTTAAGTGAAGTCGCGGTTTATAGGGATGCTTTCCAAAGTGCATGATCCCGCACTTGTTGAGGTTAAATGGTAATTGCCATTTTTCACTCCAGATAGTTAAGTTATTGAGGTCCTTTTGGATCTGGGATACACTTTCGCTTAGTGTCTCAGGCTTATAGCTGTATACTATTTTGAGATCATCAGCATATAAGTATGGTTTCCCAAATTCTATGGTGTTACATATATCGTTTATATACATAAGAAACAAAAGTGGACCTAATACGCTTCCCTGGATGACTCCACTGGTGATTGGTCTAAGGGACGAGAGACAGTCATTGTACTTTACCATCTGTTTACGTTCAGGTAGTCTACTAGGCATGTATCGCATGATCTGGACCTAAGAAATCCATGCTGGGAGGTCGAGATGAGATTATTAGTTAGTAGATGTTGGACTACAGTCGCCTTAACTACTTTTTCCATCACTCTGGATACCACTGAAGTTATGTTTATAGACCGGTAATTTTCAACGTTTGCTTCAGGTCCTGTTTTAATTTTGAGAATGATATGTGTAGTTTTCCAGGCAGTAGGGTAACACGCTGAAGAGAGTGATATCGCGAATAGTTTGAGAAGCAAAACACACATATCATCACCTCCACGTTTTAACATGCTAGATGGAGTACCATCTGGTCCATCAGTGTAGGAGTGTTTCAATGTACTGATTGCCTTGGAGATATTTTGTACACTGAATTCTACATTAGTAATTTCACAGGGAGTTACTGGGATTGGTTCTGAATCATTAAATGGTTTTTCGTTAGTTAGTGAGAAACAAAAATGTTCACTAAATAATTCTGTGATAAGTTTGGGATCTTCGTATACTTGTTTGCCTTTAATGAATATACTCCCTCTCGTTTTAGAGCGTTTAAGTTTATTTTGGAGTAGTATGGTGAGTGCAGAGGAATTATTATTAAGTTCAACTGCACGTTTTTCCTGTGCTACTGCTTTTTGTTTACTTATTGTCTCTGTTCGGACAAGTATTTCTGTCATCGTTACTAAAGAGGAAAAGTCATTTAAGTTGTGGAATCGAGTACAATGTCTTTGAAGACGTCTTCTTGTACTGATCGGTATATAGAGATCTTTGGAGAACGTAGGTTTACAGTATTCTAAAGGTGCGATGTTGTTGATGATACTTTTGATGTTGTGATAAAATATATTGATTAATGTGTCGGTATTGTTTGAGGTAAAGAAAGTTCTCCAATCAGTGCTTCTTAGGTAATTGTGGAAGTTATTCCAATCAACCTTGCGATAGTTTCTACGAAGTGTTACGGTTTTACTTCTATCGGTTGTGGCTTTTACATTAAGGCTGCATATGACAATGTTATGATCACTACCTGGGAACTTTTTTCCAATATACAAAGTATTGGGGACGAGGCCACTGATAAAGACTAAGTCTAAGATGTTT